GAAACTCTCTTTGTTCATCGAAATAATTTACTAAACTATTGTTTAAAAAAAATACTTCTGTTTTTGTTTGGACTTGCTTAGATCGTCTCCGGTGTAAATGCTGTTGTGGCTCAGCCTCTCCAAGTCACCTCAATCAAAAACAATAAGATATTCCAAAAGATTTGTTTTCATTTATCTTTAAATGATTTATTTATTTTACTTTAGGATAGCAATTATTTCTAGTTTGTCATTTAATTTTTTATTTTTGCATTTGCCTGTCTAGATTGTTGTAGGCGACTGTATTTATTTTTATTTGTATTAACACACACTAAAATAAAAAGTACCCAAGTAATTTTGTTTATTTTATAATTTATACTTAATGTTTCAATGAGAAATACACTTTTTTTATCTTATTCCATATTGACACATTTAAATGTAATAAAACATAGTTACGCTTAATAATTTAAAAAAAAATGTCTGCAAAATCAATTGATTTTGTGTAAAAATACCCAAAACCTCAGAGTCTTTATATAGGATTTATTTAAAATATGAAAAGTTCCTTCAGTTACTGTATAAGTTGCAAGAACTATGCCCAAAAAAAAATCTGATCACAGTAAATATATAGGAGAGGTCGACTTCTTCAGTCCTGACGGATCCCATCGCATCCTCCTGCTAACGGCTCGATACGCCTTGCTTTTGCTTTTGGAGATACTCCCTCTGCGTCGTACGTTGCATACGATATGGATCTTTAGTTTCGCCCACGGAGGCCGAGCGGATGTGAGTTCTTGACAGGCTAAAAGCTGCTCAATGCCCTGCGGCCCATGTTTGCGGCTGAGAACATTTTCAGTTTGCGGCGTAAGGTCGGATCTAATGGACATGAGGAAATTAATGTTGCAGTCCACAGCATTTTGCGTTAGGCCTTACATTATATTAGGAGAAAAGCAGAGTAGGGGAGTCAGCATGCCCCCAGTGAGTGGGTGGCTGCAAATAGATGGAGTAGTTCACTTCTGGACTGAAGGGTTAAACGTAATGAAAACAGACAACAACATCCAAACACTGCAGGAGGGGAGCTACCCTGTTCTTGCTCTGACAACAGGAAGCAAAATTAAGCCTTCACATTTCCTACATGACCCAATGAGGAGGGAAAAACACACTTTAATTCAAAAGTTCTTTGTAATTATATATGTATGTAAAGCAAAGTTATGCTTCTGTTTTTCCTGTAACAGTCACGCGTCCTTTTCAGTGCTCTCACCTTCAGCTGTGACGCTGCTCTTCAACTGAATTCAAGCCAGCTGCCTGTTGACCGCCTAAATATAGTTTGTCTGCTCTGATCAAATTAAATCAGAATTAGAGTTGCTTGTGTTTCTAGTTTTCCTCGGGAGTCTCAGACTGATTATTTTTGGCTGTTTGAATTCGTAAACCAAAGTGAGAAACAAGCAAACATCAGCAGCTCTCATTTAAACCATGTGAAGAAGCTGCTCTAAATGATTTTTTTGGCTTATTGGTGTCAACTTTTTAAAGAGCTTATAAGAAAAAAGTACTTAAAACCTTGTAAGTTCCCATGGTAACTTGAAAGTTAAAACCAGATCAAGGTGAAACAGCTAAAAAATAATATTTCGGAGGAGAGTGAAAATTGTTGCATTTAGTGGATCATAGTTAAAATAATATTCTCAGACTCACAGAGTTTGCAAAACATTCACAACAAAACAGAAACAGTTTAAGGCCATCGTGAATAAAGGAGTGAACACATTTATCAATTAAAGGATTAACAGACAAATGATTACATTTCAAAATGTAGCCTAATAAGCATTTAGTGACGATACTAAATGCTGTTTAGCTTCGTGTTTTCATCTGTCAGATTTAACATTGAGCTTTCTGACTTGAAGTGCAAAGGTCCATCTAGTTCACCGATAAACTTTCTGCTCCACATGTCTGTAAAATAAACTTTAATTTAGTTATGGCAGTTAAAATAATCTATCAATTTTTAAGATTGAGCTTGGCTTCAAAATGTTCAGGAGGGCAAGGAGTCGACTGAAGGCCAAATTAAACACATAAACATCGAGCTGCAGTCCAACTTGAGTCAAAATCTTTCAAAAGTTTGACAAAAGAAAGCATGGCGCCCAAACACAAACCAAGTTCAATCCTGAAAGAGAACTTCAGTCACTCAGCTTTTCCTCTGTGTGCTCCTCAGTCAGAGAGAAAGGCGCTCTAAAAGCCATGGTCTACCCTGGGATCAGCCCAGACTGCTGCGGCAAGCTGAAGGAGCAGAGCGGCGGCCTGCAGGGCGACTCCATCGCCGACACCATAGACTTATCAGGGAAAAGCAAGAAGCGGCGCAACCGGACCACCTTCAGCACCTTCCAGCTGGAGGAGCTGGAGAAAGTGTTTCAGAAGACGCACTACCCCGATGTGTACGCCCGCGAGCAGCTGGCGCTGAGGACGGAGCTCACCGAGGCCCGGGTTCAGGTGTGTGCGTCACACCTTTAGCCTTGTGTTTAAGAACTTAATAGGAATTAAAGTTATACATCCTAAAGATTTGCTGGTTTTGACCAACTTCTTTTAATATTACAGTCAGTGCCTTTAGAAGTGCCTTAAATATGTTTCACATTTTGACAGGCTACAATCATAAACCTTAGAGTTTTGGGGGGGTTTTTGGCATGGCTTCATTTTTTATTGGTAAATAATATTTTGAAGAGCGTAGCAAGTACTTGTTTAGCCAAATTTATTCTCTAGTGAAATTCAGTGCAACAAAATGCCTCTGCTGGTCATCTAATTTGTAAAAATTGAGCCAATTTTTGATCAACAACTTGACTGTCCACCTAAACTGACCAGCCTACATTAATCAGTGATCCTCAAGGTCCGTGGCACCTATGAAGGAACTGCAAAGATCCAGAGCTCAGCTGGGAAAATCTGTAGATTGTCAGAGTTCACTGGAAGATAAATAAAGTTAAATGTAAAATTCAAAATGCTATGTTGTAGATTACAAATCGATAATGAAACACGGAGGAGGCCTCTTCATGTAATATGGAGGATTTTCTTCACCTTGGACAGGAAAGACGTGTCCAGATGTAAATCCAATGGGGAATTTTGGGCAAAACATGGAAAACTGATGCTCAAGGATATTCTCCCCTAAAAATGTTAAACGGTGTTCAAGGAACAATAGGCAAATATTGATATTATCATCTTCAAGTCTGTAGATTTGAAGCAGAGATTGCAGTGAGTAAAAAAACTAGTCCTTTATTTTAACTTTTTAAATAAAATAATAAACCACTTCCCAATTAAACGCACCACTGTGTTGGTTTGTCTCATTAAATCCACATAAAATCCAGTCAAGTTTGTGGTTGTAACTTTACGACACACTCAGGTAGTACAGATATTTCTGCAAGGCACCTTATTTATTGTTTTTTTCTTTGATTCAAAGGTGTGGTTCCAAAACCGTCGAGCCAAATGGAGGAAACGGGAACGCTACGGGAAGATCCAGGATGTCCGCAACCACTTTGCAGCGTCTTACGATATTTCTCTTCTCCCTCGTCACGATGCATATCAGGTGGGTTACTCCAAAATCCGACAAGTTACTCCATAGGAAATCTGACTTGTTTCCAATCATGCCTTCAGAGCTTTTCACTCTATATGAAGGCTTTACACTTTTTCTTTCTATCAAGTTTCCCATCCTAAATCTGTCATCATCCAGATGCAGGGCAATCTGTGGCCAGGCACTGCTTCAGCTGCAGGGGGCAGTTCAGGTGCCGCCTGCGTCCTAGGAGCCGACTCCATCCCATCGTCCTGCATGAGTCCATATCCTCACCCCCACAGCAACTTGCAGGGCTTCATGAGCATGCCTGCCTCCCCCAGCCACCCGCACCACCACCACCACCCGCCTCACCACCACGGCATCAACGGCCTCTACTCCCTCCACAGCTTCCCAGGAGGCCTCGGCCCGCCCGCCATCGAGGGGCCGGAGAGCGACTACAAACCAACGGGTTTGGTGGCGCTGCGAATGAAAGCCAAAGAGCCGGGCAGCATCATCTCCTGGCCCACATGACCACCAGTGGTCCCCTTAACACACTGACTGAGCCAAAGCACACACAGCCGCAGAAAGACCCACCGCCCGCATGTTTCACTCATGCCGTTCTCACAGAACACCGTTGGAAAAGTGGATGCAAATTCAGAAACGCCGACGCCTGTTTTGTCACCAGTTTCAGTTTCTTGTTACAGTAATGGGATAAAAGAAGAAGAAGTTATTTAAGCATGTAAAAAAATCCTGTAAGTATCGTATTAATCAGTGATGATCAGAAATAAAGTCCTCCATTTACATGTGCCTTCTGGCAGGATGCAATTTTTGGTTTGAGACAAGACAAAAAAACCGAATCGGCTGGAATCGGTTCAGCCTCGACGTGGCTCTTTTGTTTGGGAGAAATGTGGTTGTGAGACAGAAATGCTTTACAGGGTGAGTTTACCATAAACACGAGGATTTCTGCTCTGCGGGACGTTATTGCTCTGGTGCACACTGTGACTTAGTTCATTAGAAGAAAACGAAAGCCAGCGACTACATGACACTATTGGGAATGAATCTCCAGTCGTGGCTGCACATGTACTTACGCAGCTATTTGTCTTGTTTTTAACACAACTAATTATTGTGGCAATCTGAGTCATAGTTTCACGGAGAAAGTTTAATTTGGTATACGTTTCTCCTGCAACCAAACCATCTGCTTCTTCGTTTTTTCCCCTCATCTTTCAGAGGAAAAACAGGCCGTCTCATGTGACATATTTTGCATTGCAATATCTCCTTTTTTGTTCTCTGCTCTAAACATTTCACTTTGCTGCCAAGTAAACATAGAATTGTATTGTACCATCCCATCTGGCTTAAATTGCTAAATACCAACATATTTGTGTCAGATGGGCAAACATGTCAGTCTTTTTGGAGGACTGAGAGCACAAGCTGAGCTGTGGAAGGAAAAAAATATATATATATTTCACTGGTGGACTGAAGTCCTCTAAGGAATGGAGATGGCTAAGAGAAATACTGGGTTTATTCTTTGCCTGTCTCACTGCGACTAGAACGCTCAGGGCAGATTATCTGATATTCCCTCGCTCCCTGTGCCAGGTTTCGTTCAGGCTCTGTAACATGTGGTTCCAATTGAAGAATGCACAAAGCCGTCAGAAACACTTTCCACACCCACAGCCTCGAATTCCAGCCAGGCCGTGGGAGACGACTGCTGGCGCGCAGTGACACGGCGCTCTGCGGCTGCGTCCCAGGATAAGTGAAGATAAGGAGAGAAGGGACCACAGAGGTGGCCGTCTTCTGGAGAGATGAAGAAATGGAGAATGATGATACGTTTTTAATTACATATATTCTTGAGCAACAGGAATATTTTCAATGGCCTTTAGGATTAGTCAAAAATGACTTAAACGTGATTAATAAAAGCTACAAGGCAGAAGGAAAGTAGGAGCTCTACTCCTTCAGTTGAAATTCTTACAATATTTTCAGTTTTCACATATTGTCATGCAACAACTACAAATTTCATTGGGTGTTATCGATATGACAGACAAAGCAACACATAATTGTGAGAAGGACACACGGGTGTCAGGATCTTTTACAGATCAACATGTTAAAAGTGACATGAATATGTATTCATCCCTCTGAGTCAACACACTGAAGAACCATATTTTACTGCAAAGGTAAGGCAAGTTTATTTGCATGGCACATTTCAGCAACAAGACAATTAAAAGTGCTTCACATGATAAAACATCAAACAAACTTTACACTGGAGTGAAAAATTCAAGGCAATTGATGAAAAGAGAAAAATGAATGATGTTACAGTTAATATTAGTCAAAAACAACTCTTTAAAAAAAGGGGGGGAGGAGTTCAACCTCAATTTAAAGGAAGTTTGCTCCAGATTAGAGGAGCATATAAACTGAATGCTGCTTCTCTGCTGGTTCTGGGAAAGCAGAGGAGACCGGAACCAGAAGACCTGATTGGTCTGGAGGGTTGCTATAACAACAACAACAACATGTCTCTAATTTACTCTCAAGTCATTCAGTAATTTTAAAACTTACAGTATTAAAGGCTCTTATCTGAGGTACAGGGAACCAGTGTAAGAACTTTAGAACTGGAGTGATGTTCTCCATATCCCTGTTTTTATTGAGAACTGGACCGGCATCGTGCAGTAAGGTCTACCTTTACCTTTACCAGCTTTCCACATCTAGACACTGAAAATTGTGTTCGTTCTTCTTTGAATAACAGCTGAAGGTCAGTCAGGTTGAACATTAGTCTCAGATTCTCAAGAGGATTTGAGTGTGGACTTTGACTAGGCCATTCTAACACAGGTTTTGATCTGAAACATTTTGTGGTAGCTTTAGGGTCATTGTGCTGCTGGAAGTTGAACCTTCCTCCCAGTCTCAAGTCTTTAGTTGACTCCAGCAGGGCTTTTTTTTCTAATATTTAAATTTATTTAGCTCCATTCAGTATGTCACTTTGCTCATCTTCCACATCTCTGTTCAAGAAACACGACTCCACAGCATGATGCTGCCATCACCATGGAGGAATGTGTTCAGGGTGGTGTGAAGTGTTAGTTTTCAATACAGGAGTTTAATTTTAGTCTTGTGTCCTCACAGCTTTCTTTCAGTATTTTCACAATTTCATAAAGATTAGATTTGTGGAGTGCCAGACTAGTAGTTGGTTTCTGCATAAATTATTCTACTTGAGGTGTAGAATAATTATCTCAGAGTTACAAATGTATCACATTTAGCTTTATTTTGAGATTAATTCTGACTTTTGAAAGTATTTGGTTGCTTTTGGTTTTATTCAGCTGATCAGAGTAAAAATGCACACCATTTCTGAAACCTCTAAAATTCTGATTAAAATATAGTATTATCTAGTTCAGTTTGTTTTTACACATTACTTTTTTCCTAAAATACTTACTCCCCCTTGTCCTTATAGCTACTGGCACAAAGGAGTTTACTCAAAGTAAAAACAAAAATCCACCGAGCTTCATGTCAGAGAGCTACAGCAAAGTGTGGCATCTTTTGGTCCCCAGGTTACCATAACAACACTTAGACACTATTTACATACCAAATTGTTGCTTGGGAATGATGATGCCAAGAATAAAAAGCATTTTGTGTTCTACCGTGGCAAAGATAAACACATCGGGTTTGATAAACTTTACTGGGACATTAACTGGAACTGTGTACTTTAGTCAGATGTGATTAACCTCAAGCTTTTCTGCAACAGAAACTCCAACTAGATCTGACATGAAACAAATAGTGAACATGTGAAAAAGCACCTCATGGCCATTGAGTACGATGGGAGATCTGTGATGCTGTGGATCCTCCAAAAATCCTTGTTTGAGCATCAATAATTCTTCAGTATAAAATAACATTTTAAAAAGTGAATGGATACTACAAAATGTCAAAATGCGTAAATATTGGCTGATTCGACAGGATAAGGATTCAAAATACGCAACCAGTTTAAAAATCTGCTGGTTGATCTGAAGACAAGAGAGAATATTGTAGAACCGATGGCTGGATGATCTGGAGAAATTGTGAAAAGACGAAGAATTGTCAAAATGTCACTACAACCTTGAGAAAATGTGTAGGTGAACTCCTGTTTTATTAGTACAATGAGGCTGATTAAAGCATCAGCAGCTGCTTTGCAAATTAATATGACATTAAATATTCAGTAACAGTTTAATCTACTGTGATAAAAAAAATATAAATAATTCTTAAAAGGCGCTTTTCTCTACAAAAGGATGCCAGTCATTATGAAGACTGCTGTAAATAGGCTTTGATCACATTTTTTAACTTTGTTATTTCAGATGTAAATTGGATGTGGTCACAGACATCTTAAATAATTCAGTTAAACTAAAATTTATGCAGCAGAAATATTCAGAACAAAAGTTTTTTGTCCATGAATAAAGACTGGTTGTCCTTAGGTTTATTGATCTCCTGATAAAAACAATAGAAGTTTTCAAAAATATTGCTTAAATGCTGCCACCATGTGGTATCAGATCAAGTAGAGAAGAATTCAATGATCCATCAATGAAATGTGCCTATAGATTTGACAATTTTGTCAAAGTCTTAACAGCTGCATCACACAGTGCAGCAATGCACAGCAGGACTAAAACAAAAACACAGAACCAGGTTTCATCAGGCGCAAAGGAGGATTTTTCTGTTTCATTATATTCCATATTGTTTGCAATGTGCTTTTAACCAACATCTTTCACAGTCAACAGTTAAGCAAACAAATTACAGAATATTTAGTTTGACAACTGCAGGAATCACTTTGTATTATTTATTGCATAAACAGAAGAAAAGGCTCCTTTTAAACACTGTTATAGAGCATATTATCTATATTTGAATTTTATATATTTAGGTTCCCTTAGTTCAAACATTAATGAATGCAAGCAATTTGAGGATTCGGTAATATTTTTTTGGCAGAGAGAATTCCATTGTGGAGAGTTTCATTGACTGCTGCTGGATAAGAAGTCAACTCTTGTTTTGTAGACGTGTGTACGCAACGTTTTGGATGAGTTACCACAGTCCAACCCTTTATTATTTGAAAATTGTGCATTTGAGACATGTTTAGCGTAAACACTTAGCTAAAAACCAGTTTCTTAAATTGTTAGTCAGTCCAATTGCATGATTCAGAAAATTAATAGCAGTTTGAAAGAAATTGATTTAGGTGAAAACTGTAATTTAACCATGAACATTAAGTTACTTGTTTGCTCTTCAGTCATGTTGGGTGTTGAAGAATTTCAATAAAACCTCAGTAAAGTCAGGAAGTAAAATACTGAGATTTGTTGACCGTTGTTGTAGGGATGGTTTTAGATCAAACTGGTTAAGGACACAGACTAGAGGGGAAATTAGACTGGATTTGATCATCTATAGTTCAAAACAAGCATTTCAATTTTCCATTAAATTACATCATATGTTGTTACAATTACATTAAAAAAATGTAATAATCCATCTTGGAGTGCGATTTATTGAAGGGTTGTTGCATGTTACAGTTTTATTATTTTCAGTTGAGAATTTAAACATTTTAATTATTTTTGATAAACTACTAACTAAACAAGGTCAAAAATGCAACATAGACCTACCTTGAGAAAATCCACAGACTCTGCTGCTTATCTCTAAAATACTTTGGGCCGACTTCGCTCTTGTATGAAATTAATCTGCTTAATCCAGTGTCTCCATTCCTGTCCTCGGGGAACCTCTGGCCTGCACATTTTAGATGGATCTCTGTTCCAGAACAAATGACTGTCTGACTTCCTCTGCAGACATCAAGTCTGTTAATCACCCACTTATTCAAATCAGGTGTGTGGCCGAAGGGAAACGCCTAAAACATGCAGGTGGGATTGAGAAACACTGGCTTAATTGCTTTTGCTTACATAATTTAACTGCTAAAATAAATTAACTTTTCAAAATTTATTTGGATGGCCCAAAACGTCGTTGATTGCGAATCTTATGACACATTATCATAATGTAATAATTAAAGTGAAAGAAGAGCTAAATTACAGACTGGTAACAGCAACCACCTTCAACTGTTTTCAAAACACAGCTATGGTAAGACACGGCTTTATTTATAAGGGCTCCGTTAATGATTGACAGGCATTTTAAAGATTTCTGCCCACTTTTCAGCCAATCACAACGAAGGGGCGGGATTTTAGGCTAATCCTAACAAAATGGCGACTGTTGTTGTTTTGCCGCAGGGTCACTGATTAAATCCGTTTATCGTTTCAGCTCATTTCTGCACCTGCAGTGCAGAAGTCGTGCTAAGATAAGGCCACGAACCGGAAGGGTCGACTCCGCCCGGACTGAAATGAAAGGCAAAGAGCGGTCGCCGATTAAAAAACGGTCCCGGGCCTTGGAAGATATTCGAGACAGGGGAGGATGTCATCCGACCAGCAAGAAAATGGGGGCTCTGTCCGTTTCCAGCGGGAGTAATAATGGGAACAGCTCGACAAAAGGCGACGGCGGCTCTACGAGACGGAGTCTACTCGGTGAGAAAAGAGAAAGAGACTTCGACGGCCACGGCCGGACTGGAAATAACCACAGCTGTCAGTCCGCTGCGGGTAAAAACCACAGCCTGAGCCTGACGCTGGACTTAGCCTCGCAGAGGGGCGTCTCTTCGCGAGCGGAGCAGCGGATCCAGCCGCCCAGCGCGGAGAGTGAGTACAAAACACTGAAAATCAGCGACCTCGGCTCCCAGCTGAGCGACGAGGACATAGAGGACGGACTATTTCACGAATTCAAAAAGTTCGGCGACGTGAGCGTCAAGATGAGCCGCAGCAGCGACGGACGGATAGCGTTTGTGAATTTCAGAAAGCCGGAGGACGCCCGAGCCGCTAAGCACGCCAGGGGCCGGCTGGTGCTCTACGACCGGCCGCTGAAGATCGAGGCGGTCTACGTTAACCGGAGACGGAGCCGATCCCCGGTGGAGAGGGACCTGTACGTGGCGGCTCAGAGTCACAGACATCTGCAGAGACCCCTTTCGCCCACCGGGCTTGGATACAGAGACTACAGGCTGCAGCAGCTGGCTCTGGGACAGCTGCCCCCGCCCCCGCCGCCGCCCCTGCCCAGGGATCTGGAGCGGGACAGAGAGTTTGCTCTGTTTGAAGCCAGGGCGCGTCCCGCTTTCATTGCAGAGCGGGCAGCGTTCAGAGAAGAGGATTTTATCTCTCCTGAAGACGACCAAAGAGCCAACAGGACGTTGTTTCTGGGCAACCTGGACATATCTGTTACGGAGGCGGACCTGAGGAGGGCTTTTGACAGGTTTGGGGTCATCACGGAGGTGGACATAAAGAGACCCACCAGAGGACTAACCAGCACCTATGGATTTCTGAAATTTGAGAACCTTGACATGGCGCACCGTGCAAAGCTTAGTATGTCTGGCAAAATAGTGGGTCGCAACCCCATAAAAATAGGTTATGGCAAACCCATGCCCACCACTCGCTTGTGGGTGGGGGGACTTGGACCCTGGGTGCCTGTAACTGCTCTGGCCAGAGAGTTTGATCGCTTTGGGACAATAAGGACCATTGCCTATAGAAAAGGGGACACTTGGGCTTACATTCAGTATGAAAGTTTAGATGCTGCACAAGCAGCTTGGACACACATGAGGGGTTTTCCTCTGGGAGGACCCGAGAGACGGCTCAGGGTAGACTTTGCAGACTCTGAGCATCGCTACCCGCAGCAGTTCCTGCAGCCTCTCCCCATAGCGCCGTTTGACATGGTGGCCGAGTCATTTGTACACCGTGCCACGCCCGAACCTCTTCGGGTCAGAGACAGGACTCCTCCACCACTTCATTTCAGGGACAGAGAGCTCTTCCCTGGAGCCGACTGGCCCAACCCCGCCATCCGGGAACGGGTGCGGGCCTCGCCCTTTGAGCCTCTGGAACATTTGGAGCGGCGGACAAGGGAGCCTTGGTCTCTGGAACGAGAGCTGCAGGGACGAGAACCTGTACGCAAGCGGCGTGCCTTGGAGGAGGGACGCCATCTGGACCTCTCCCCGGACAGCACTGAGAGGACAGTAAGACGTAGACGAGCCTCCCCAGAGGGGAGTCCCGGCGGAAGCAGCAGAGAGGGGGGGCGCTTCAGTGATTCAGAGCGCCCCATGCGAGGCGAGAGAGCCTCTCCAGTGAGAGAATGCCAAAGCAGCCTGGAACGGGTTGCGACAGAACGCCGCCTCAAGAGCCAGGGTCTCTCTGATAAAGGACCTTCAGGTGGTGCAGGGGCAGCAGCTGGAGAACGCAAGCGTAAAGCAGTTGACGGTGGCAAAGGCCCGGCCAAGAGAGAACGCTCTGAAAGCAGCTCCAAGGGAGGTCAGCCGTCCAAGCTGGACGGCGCCAAACTCGGTCTGGCTTGGCAAGGCATGCTGCTCCTGAAAAACAGCAACTTCCCAGCCAACATGCACCTGCTGGAGGGCGACCACAGCGTGGCCAGCGACCTGCTGATGGACAGCGCGACGGGGAGGCAGGTGAGCGAGCTGAAGATCACGCAGCGTCTCCGCCTGGACCAGCCCAAGCTCGACGAAGTGTCCCGCCGCATCAAGGTGGCAGGTCCCGGCGGCTACGCCATCCTGCTGGCCGTTCCCGGTGCCACGGAGGAGTCGCTCTCGGACTCCGCGGCCTCGACCCAGCGGCCGCTTCGCAACCTGGTTTCCTACCTCAACCAAAAACAAGCAGCCGGAGTCATCAGCCTGCCCGTGGGGGGCAGCCGGGATAAAGACAACGCAGGGGTCCTTCATGCTTTCCCCCCCTGTGATTTCTCCCAGCAGTTCTTGGATTCGTCTGCCAAAGCTCTGGCAAAAAGCAAAGAGGACTATCTGGTCATGATCGTGGTTCGTGGCGCATCATAAGAAGTGACCATACACTACAACGAAGTGGCGATTAGAGAAAAAAAAAAAAAATCTGCTGTATGTCAGTAATTATTGCATGCTGTGTGTTCTGCATCCTGGGGTACAGTAGTGTGCTTCTCCAGTGTTTGAATGTTGCCATATAACCCACTAAACGGACAAAAGGTGCCCTTCGATACAACTAAAAGGTCTTTTTTTTTTTAAGTACATGTTAGTGGGTTTTTGAACCCGATCACAATCACAAACGTGCTGTACTATCAGCATTGTGGGGTTAAATATCAGGGTTGTTATAGAAATTCAATCAGTTCAAATCCAGTTACATCTATGAGCCTTTAGGTCATTTTATCATTTGGTTCATTTATGGGTTTAAATGGTTACTTATCCAGTTATAAGCAAAATAAATGTTGGACATTGAATGATTTTATACGATAACACCACCATTACAGTTAATCTACCGATTTAAAACAATGTTGGTTCAATTTATTTTAAAATGTCCTAAAACCGTCATGTTTGTCTGCAGGCTGCTGTACTTGACGTCATCGGTCTGTACTGGTGGTGTTATTACAACAACGTTCCTCCCTGGTTGTGTGAACATTCATGACCTACAGTACAGTAACATGTTCCAGTTTAAAATTTAGCTTTTCAAGTGTTGAAAAGAAGCTGAGCATAATTCCCCCCACCCCAATTTTAAGACGGAAAGAAAAGGGAAAGTCAATTGGCAATGTCGACGTTTAAAACAAATTGCACAGCTCTCCTGCAGTTGATCACATTCCTGTTAGATGTACTACCTTAAATATTTATATTGCTTCTACTGAAGTCGTTCGATACGTCTTGGAGTGTGATTTACTGAAGCAGTGTTATGCAGGGTGTTTTAAAGTCGAATAAAATGTTTTGTCTGGTGCAAAGATGGAGGACAATGTGAAGGTCAGCAGTTAAAGCGTTAATACAGGTCAAACATTTCACTGTATGGAGTCTCATTCGTGCATTTTCTTCAAAGTTATTGTTCGAATATTACTGGATCTGTTTTAAAGGCGTATGCTTAAAATTTGTTTTGAAGTGAGGTTTTTATTCACAACAGAAAGAGGCCACATCGCTTTAAGTTTGTAGAAAAGTGAAAATGTTCCCTAAATCTGTGAAAGTCTAACAAGTCGGATGGACTCGCTGTTTTAGCTGACTTAGCTGTCCAAAACAACCCAAACTTGAAATGTTCATATTTGTGAGCTGAATTATACCAGCAGGTTTAAAACCCTCTAAACTTTCACAAGGCGGCTTTGATAAGATTTTTTCCTTCTTTTCTCAGTCAAATTTTGTCTGCGCTACTGCGATAAGGGTTTGTTAGCTGGTTGGCTCTATTGGTCCACCAGGATAAAATTTGCCATCTTTGACACCTCTCTGCTCATCCTGGCATTCATGTAAAACGTTAGCACTTCCAGTTAGAAGCACTCAAAATTTATACCTGGTACAGGTACAAATAATTTTGTTTTACTCTCTTTTTTTTTTTTTTCTTAAAATAGGATTCAACAGATGCAAACATGTTCAGTTTGAGTTATTTTAAATAGGCAAAATCAGCTAAAACATTGAGTCTTTTTGACTGTGCTAGCCTGTCATGATGCTTAGGAATTTTTTATTTTTAATCTCACTGTGATGTCACATTGCAAACTATTGGTGAAGGAGCCTCACTTCAAAAATATTGAGCTATTCCTTTAAGATTCATCAATGGGATCACCAAATTTCTACAATATCTGTGAATTTAAGTGTCTCCCATTGGTCAAATAATAGTTGAATGCATTTTTATTTTATGGATATCATAGAAACCAGCCCACACCTGCTACTAACAGAAAATACTGAACTTTTCTTGTGTTTTTAATGTGTTATCCTTTTGTGCATCCTTGTTTTGCTCGGAGAGGATCTAGCATTGCAATATATATATATATATATATAAAAAACTGAAGTACTTGTGGACAAAAAAACAAAAAAGTTAAATTTTTGTGTTTATAGTTGACGCCCTGTTTTATTTATTTCCTTGAACCGGTGACCCTCCCCTTTTTATAGTAGTAATTAACCCAGTAAGTGGATGGTACAAACTAATAAACCTGCTATCAGTACAGCTACTTGGTTTTAGCAGTGGTTTAACAGTTAACGTGGAGTTTAATTTTAGAAGTATAAAATTACAATAACTCATGCCTGCCAATATGTTTTTATTTTTCATAGATCTTCTTACCACAGTATTGTTTAGACTTTTTTTTATGTATTTAGTCATGCAGTAGCGACTTACTCTAAATAATTTTCAGATTTTTATTTTTTTGTGTGCGTGTGTAATGAAAACATCCATGTTTGCTTGTACACTCGGACATCACACCCACTGAAACTTCGGACTCTGGAAGACGCAGAGCTGCAAAAACCTCTGTGGAGAGAGAGGGGCAGAGAAAAAGGCACCGTTGTATGTGTGAGGAAGCTTTTTAAGTTGTGTAAGTCCATCCCGCACCTGTGATGACTTCTGTTTTTAAGTGGGGGAAAATTGAGCAATGTACGCTTTGATGTCATGGGGGAAAAGGAAAATCCGTAGTGCCCATGCGAAGCTGTTCACGTAACTGCGAGTGCATTTGGGCGCCTGATGTGACCGATTGTCAATAAATTGTTCATGTGAAGGGGAAGTGTTTCTTCGATGGAAGTGAATTGACGAGAACGAGCTGCGATGCCTTGTTGTGTTTCCGAGGAGTTTTATTCACTTGAAAATGTTGTTTTCTGCTCGTGAGACGATTCGCAAGTCGTTTAGCTCCAGAGAGGAGAGAGCCGTGTTCCCCGCCCCCTCCAGAGGATCGCTGTTTGTTTAAACGAGGCCGGTTCTGGTTGTAACTTACTCCCGCAACTGTTCAAAAACACACCTGATCAGGACGGAGCCGGAGCAGCCAGCACTTGTTTGAACCCGGCCTGCAGAGGCAGCTTCGGCATCACCGTGAAGGTCTCCCCGTGCATTCTCGGTTCTGGTTCTGAACAGAAGGCAGGAGAATTGAGATTGTGACAACTCTGAAATTCGCAGAGCATCGACAGATCACTCGGTCTCCCTGCGGAGATTTGGGTCTGATTCGTCTTTATCGCACTTTGCCCGGTTTTACTCAGATTTCCCCGCTCGTCAGGAAAGACGATTGGCTCAGACATCAGCTAGGAATGCTGCAGCTGGCCTCTCCTCCCCCGAGGAGCCGTGTTGAACCGGTACCACTTCATCATCTGAGGTCAGCCGCAGCACCGGGGATGAAGTACGCACGCCTTCGCTGGAAGGAGCAGAGGATACCATTCACTGAAGTTCCGGGACCACTCTTTCCATGTCAAAAGCTTAAGTCCACACTCAGCTACCAATCATTTTAGCTGAATTAGAGTTTAAAAAACAAAACAACAAAAAAAAACATGTTCAGTGATTCTGTGCCGAGGACGACCCACTCCACCTTATGAAACATTGCCACCATGAGGACCACGGAGCGCCTGCCTTTCCTCTCCTCCTCCGGGTCTGTTAGCTGGCAGCCAGGACAGAGCAGGTATCACTGAGCGGCTGCTGCACAGAAACAGCAGCATGGTGAGTAAGAGCCAGGGCTGCCTGCCATGGCTGTGTCGGTGGCTTATAGGCAGCAGGGGGTGAGTATTACAGTGTAACACCACATTCTCAAGAAACACCATACAAGTTTCTGTTTTGATCTGAAAATATTCAAGTTAGCCACTGCTTTCCTCTTCACTTGATCTGCTGCTTGGCAAAAAAAAAAAAAATTAACTGGGAGATCAGAGCCTTCAAAGCTGAAACATTCCCAAAGAAGGAAATGAAACTAGATGAGATGAAGATGAGGACTTTATTTATGTATTTATTTATTTTTGGGAGGCCATGCTGGTTTCTTGTTTTAGCCTCACACAGATGCGCCTTTGGTACTTCAGCCATTCTGGTTTCTTGAGCTTCTTGAAACGACAACAAAAAATGTTTTAAGTTGTAAAAAGAGCAAGTGGCCATAAAAGTATTCAAATGCTCCCTATGGAGAAGGAAATATATTTTAAATGTCCCTTTTTAAATGACAAATCAAATAATCATGATATTTTAGTCATTTTTATAGCCACTTTATCTTTTTGCAACATATTTTTTTATATATTGAAAGCAGGAAGCTTGATGCATGACCTAAATTAGATGAGATTTTAATTTGGCAAATTTTGCTTTAAGTTTGGGTTTATATACCAAATAATGCAAACTTGGTTGTTTCTGTAGACGCAATGTATAAAAAGTAGAGTTGAGTCTCTATGAAACATGGACATTAATAAACGTTAGAAACAGGAACAGATGTTTATATGCTGAAGTTGGCAAGACAACAATTTATCTTCATTTTAGGTCAAATATAACAAATCCACATTCTACATACAAGAGGAAGATGATGCTGTGGCACAGAACATATGCCTGCTAGTCAGTGTTTATTATTATTTATTATTAACTGAGTTTGTAATTTCTTATATTCTAAATTACATAATGAAATAAAACTGTTTATCTTAAGATGTAATCTCTGAAGTAATTTTTTTAGAGATCAAACTGCAGCTGCCTTTTATCTTCCAAGTCCAACTAAATACAACAAACTGGCAAAAAATAAATACATACACTGCAAAAACACAAAATCTTATTAAAAGTATTCTTGTCTAGTTTCTGGTGCAAATATCTTATTACACTTGAAATGAAAGGAAACCGACTCGCATGCAACTTTACAGCAAGATGTAGGAGATTATTTTAAGTAAATAATTCCTCAATATTGATGAAAAAGTTCTAGTTCTCTTAGACTTTCACTTATAACAAGACATTTTTCCCATATTATAAGTGAAAAAATCTCCCAGTGGAACAAGTTTTTTTTTCCATCATATTAAGCAAACATTTACTTAAAACAAGCTTCCATATCTTGCTAGAAAGTTACTTGTAAGTTAGTTTTTCTTATCGTATTTCAAGTGTAATAAAATATTTTTGCACTAGAAACTAGACCAAAAATTTAGTTTTTTGTAGTGTAAATAAATAACCAACAAACAGACGTGAGCTAATTTTAAATTTGAAAGGTATTTTCCATTCATTGCCCAGCAAATAAACAAGTCAGTGGTGAGAAAAGCTGCATAAGAAGTTTTGGTATGAACTTGGATATGGTGCAATATCATTGCCATAATGCTTCACAACAAATCACATTATTGGATTATTTAACTTGACTACGTTTCATTTATGTTATCATTTTACCTTTAAGACGCTACACATTAGTATGATTAAAAATATTGAAGAAGTTGAGACATACCAACAGAATTGGTGATTAGACAACACTTATTGATCCTGGCAAGGTGTTTGTGATTTTGACCTTTGACGATTGATGGATATAAGCAGTAAGATCCCCTCCCCTGCAACCCTGCAGACATTGATATAGAAAATGGATGGAACCTTTTCTAACTTCAAGACCGATCACAACTTCAGTGTCCAAAGTCGGTCCTTGAGGGCCGCCGGCCTCCATGTTTTAGTTATTTCCCTGGTTCAACACACCTGAATCAAATGAGGTAGATGGACCATCTCACCCATTACTTACGAAAAAGACATGTACTTAGCTTATTATAATTAATAAAGTGACTATTTTAATACAAATGCATCTAATTTACTATGGAATAGTGCCATAAATCCTGAATGTTTTTCAACAATAAGCTTCATAGTCCCTGGTCATAGCTGAGTTTATTCACTGTAGGAATAAAACAACAACAAAAAACAACTTTATTAGATAATTTCAGGGTTACTGTAGTCATAATTGACCTTATTTATTTATTTATTTTTTGTCTTATGCATAGGCCAATTATTCTCTGTCTGATAACCTTGAGTAAGAATACCATGGAAAAAACAGTTTTTATATTAAACTATAATGGTCAGGTGGTCTAATTTCTTTAATTTTTAAGCAAAAAGCAAAAACCATCCCTGCTGGTAATCTATTGAGTCATTATTACAGCTACATTTAATGTTCAAATATACTATAATATTTACTACTATTGATTGTAAGTGGAAATAATATGTGAATGCATGATAAAGCTAAGTGTAGTACTTCCTTAATTGGTCATAAAACTAAATATTGGGTCTTTTGGTGTCCTCTCTACAGAATAGCACTGGGAGTCCTGTTGGCTATTAGCTGCTTGAAGAGGCGCCGGTAGCTAGCCTCCACCCAGCTGCTCACAAATGTGCCTCTCATAGTTTGCCTAACACTTAGCTGTTCTTTCAGCCAGCTGGCTGGCAGTGTGCAGCAACAGATGGCCAGAGAAAACTCTGATCACTTCCACACCGTCTCTGACATGCCATTAAAAATAAATGGTAGGACCAGATCAATGGAAACTGAAAGCTATAGGAGGTAATTTCATTTGTGAATTGGTTTATACATTTCTTCTTCCATTCACTGTTTTCGTTCCTGAAACCGACTCGTTGTCTATTTAGGTAATCTTGTTACGTCATCCACTACTAGCTCCAAATAATATTTTAATGAAATTTAGATGAAAACCTGAGAGTTAGACAGGAAGTGAAACAACCGGGCAAAGAGACTGCAGTCAAAAACGGATAAGATTAGATTCAATTTACTAAGAGCGGTAAATGTTGTAACTTCAGTAATTTTACTTAAATAAAGTTGTTCTTGTATTGAGATTATTTTCACTTAAAATGGCTTTAAAAAGACTTAAATCTAACTTACTAAAACATAAAAACGCTGTTTAACCACCAGTTGGTAAACATCAGTTATTTAGACTGACTAAGAAGGCTTTGCTATCAATAATCAGATTGCATGAACTGTAGAAACGTGGCTCATCTTTACATCAGCAATTTGGCAATACAAATACCAATGGAGAAAAGGCGTTCATGACACAAGGCAGTGAATCACTGATAAAAGGGAACATGTTATGTTAGCCCCGGTCATAGGCGGTAATATCATCCATGAAACTTATTGCAGATTTTATCTTGCCTAACTTTTCTAATTAAAGCATTTGTGCTTTCTCAACAGACGTCGATGGGGCTGCAGTTCTGTTTCCAAGACACTGGGCCGACCTCCCGGATTCATTCGCGGTGAGTAAACTTTACACAGGTAACGAACGCAAATTTATTTTTCTGTTTCAGTTCCATTCATAAAGATATGAATGAGAGACAGAGAGACCGAAAAGCTAAATTTCCATAAAAAATATTTATATATGGAAATTTGATTGCCGCAACAACCATAAGGAGTTGTCATTAACTCCTCCCACTAAAAAGGGCATGCCATCAAAGCTCTTTTCCAAAGATGCTGATAGAGGACTGTATGCTAGTACAAAAAGGAAAGTTGAGTGGAAGGAAGAAAGTGTAGTAGAAAAATATGCACAAGCAACATGGATAACAGAGAGGATTGTAAAACAAGGCTCATTAAGGAGTCTGGGATTGAAGTCACAAAATCATTTTTATTGGCCTTATATAATATGAAACATAAATTTGAGTTTTAATTAGCTCTAAGTGATAATCACCAGCAATAGACACTGAAAATATGTGTATAATGAACATTTATTTATTAATTTTACTTTGTAATCGTATTTATTTAGTTGCATCTGTTTGCTGATTAATATTAAAACTAACAAAATGAAACTGTAATATTGGATATTTTTAAATGGAATTTTCAGAAAATCACTGTAAAAAAGACCTGAAGATAAACACACTGAAATAAGTTATTTGTCCATTTTTTTTCCCTCAATAAAGTACCGTCTGCTCAATTTGCTGTACGACTTGTGATTGTTTCTCCTGTCTGACGTCTGAGTTGTGTAAATCACACAATAATAGGTCGAGTCAGAAATCATTTTTATTACATCCGAGTTGGGCACCGATACAAGTTTTTAAAAATGAAATCTAAACCTGGGAACAGAATGCCTATGATTGGTTAAGCTCATTTGCCAGACAAATCCAGGAACCAGAGCAGCAAACTAACAGAGCCCCTCCCAGTGATGCATTCACTGACAAAGAAACAAAAAAGGTTAAAAAAAAAAAAAAAAAAAACACGCACTCGTATGTTGTCTATGTAAATGCCACCTTAGGACCAGATGTCTAAGACCGAGTACCATACACATACTTTTAAAGCATCAAATATTTTTTATAAGCTTTTTTTTCTTTAACTTCAATGGTACAAAAACCTTAGTGGCCCCAAATTACAAAGACACAGCGGCTGTGAGTGAATGCAACTCGTGAGCCAAAAGAGCTTTAGTGCATGACTCGTCATGGAAACAATACAAAGAGCCTCGCTCAGTATTGTGAAAGTGAGTTGAGGGGGAATAATTTGGTGCTAATTGAGATAACATTCTTGGAGCAGGAGCCTTCTTAGTCCACAAGAGGGCAGCATGAGAGAACACACCAGCTGATTTTCAATTCAGAGTGAGCAGGCCAGTTTAAATGATAGTCACAGTCCACAGCATTTTATTTTCCACCCAGTTATAAGTTTCAAGTCGTAAGTAGGTTTTCTAATGTGATCTTTGGCTGACATCACAGGAAAGTTAGTAAAAGACACATTACCCTGTAAGGCAAATGGTGAAAAAAAAGAACCCACTGAAAACACAGAAAAACTCTAATATATATATATATATTAAAAAAAAAATAATCAAGAACCGACAGCCTCAAGTTTAAACGCAACGACACTGTGAGTTTGCACCAGAACGTTTGGGCAATAGTCTGAAAAAAAAAATATATATATATATCCATATTAGACTAACTGGGCAACATTGCATAATCAGTTGGTCACAGATTCATAGACAAAGCTGACAAAGTAACAAATTATCACAGGCAGCTGAGTAGAAAACTAATTTAGCTCTCCCACCTCTAAAGTCAACTGTGACCACAATTTGCAGAAAAACATAAGCAGATGTCTTCTCTGAAGAGCCGGTGGATTTGCAGCAAATAAACGCGTGTGCCTTGATTCAAAGGAAAGCAAACGAGCGTGTAGTTGCATAGATCAGCCAGGTGTGCATTGGCAAAAAGTCAAAAATTAGTTTTCAGTTGGCAGCCAACAAAACGAAGAAGGTAGTCGATAGTTGAAGCATTTGAAAGGCGACAGCTGAGGCTCTGTGAGTAAAGTTTTCTTAATGAAACATTCTCTCTTTTGCGGGTGTTTGCAGGCACTGGAACTTTAAACAGGGCTTTGAAAAATTGTTCTCACCAGCTGAAAGTGTTTACATTTGGTCATGCTACTACCACACCGCCAGTGAGTTTCAATGGGAGTTTATGTGACAAAGAACACCAAGTGGTGCATAATTGTGAAGTGGAAGAAAACGAATACATAGTTTTCAAACTTTTTTTGCAAGTAAAATTATAAGCTTTTAAAGCATACGTTTCCATCCCCTTTAATTTGATGCCCCTAAATAACAGCCAATGCTGTCAATTCCCTTCAAAAGTCACCAAGCAAGTCTTGATGAATGTGGCTGTTCGCTGAGGTTTGTTTGAGAACATTAGTGAACATCCATGGGCGTGGCAAAGCTGCACATCTAATGACATTACACAACCAGGATCCGGAACCTTTATGATCCAAAAAGCCCTTTTTTGCTCTCACTTCTCATAAAACAAAGTGATCTAGAGCTGCAAAACCTCCAGGCCCGCTCAAATTTTAAGCTCACAGTAAAAGCCTGGTTTGCGTTTCGGTAAAAGAACCATGAATTTATTTCTCTCTTATGGTTTTGAAACAAAAGGAATATCAAAGTTTTACAGATTTTAGAGTTTTTCCCTGAACTGAACATATTCATGAAAAAAAAGCTGAAAGAGAATGTAGCTTCAATGGAAAAAAAAAAAAAAAGAACAATGACACAATTTCTTGTACTGTTGGTGTCATTGCTGAAGTCCTGCTAAAATAAGCATTTTTATTGCTTTTAAATTAAACAAAACTGTTCCTTGTCAACTTTAGCTATTAATGGAGCGCTGGTAACTTTTTGGACTACAAGCAAAATGATGTTTGAGTCAGAAAACATTTCTGCCTGCAGTTAAACACGGCGATGGCAGCTTCATACTGTGGGGATACCTTTTCTTCTTGCAGGACAGAGAAGCTGGTTAGAGTTAATGAGGAGATGGATGGAGGTAAAAATCCAGGAGCTGAAATTCACCTACCAGCAGGAGCTACCAGCATAAACAGTGAAATTGTTTTAGGATGGCTAAGATCTAAGTTAAAATTTTGAATTTGTGGCAAGACTTGAAAACCGATGCTCAGAGACGGTCTCCATCCAACCTGTCTGAGCGCGAGTTATTTTGAAAAGTAGAACGTGCAAAAACGTCTGTCTCTGTTTATTTGCAAAGTTGGCAGAGACAAACCCAAGGCTTCAAAATCAAATTTCAACTCTTCCAGAGGCTCTGAATTCAAATTCAAGGCACATTTCTCATATTTCTATTTGTCAAAACAAAACAACAACAAAAAAAACATTGTTTCTCTGTATTCGTCCACTTCACACTCACGGTCTTTGTGCCGTTTTGTCACATCAAATTCCTATAAAACAAATTGGCGTTTGCGGTCACTATGTGACAAAAAAGAGAAAAAAGTTCGAGCACTACTAATAACTTTGCAAGGCACTGTAGAGTACAACTTTTTTTTTTTTATTTATAGGAAAGCTTTGTTTTTACTGAAATATATTACTGTGAGCAACGAACAGACGCAGAGATGATGAAATCATCTGACATGACTGTGCCAAAGTAGTTAGCATAGCTTCCGTGCAAAAAGACTCAAAGGTCAGAATTATCATTTACAGGAGCTGGCAGTCGAAACGGCGAATGATTACAGGGAATTGGATTCTGGCTGCCGTGTGAATGCGCTCTCAGTATTGCATAAGCAGTGACAGCTGTATTTCTTACACAACTGTCTGTTAAACTAGTTTAGTAGCTACTAGGGGGATCAAAGCCAGTTTAGGTGTGAGGTTTTGCTGACTTTAATGTGCTGAGACAGGCTTTATGCCAGTTTAAATTTAGGAGATGAAAGTGAGTCTATGAGCAGCTGCGGGGCGATAGACATGTGAAGGGTTCGTGGGGGGTTACTTTACACGAAAGCATGAAGTGAGAGTTGTGCAAAAGAGTCGACCGTGCGGCTACCCCGCTGTTTGAAAGTTATGAAACACATATACTGCTTTCCTAAATATTGATCCATTGGAGGAGGAGAAGAAGCTGGGATGAACGGGTTCAAACCGTCTGAAAAGAAGCAGGAAACGTGAAAACGATAAGATGTCTTCTGTTAGCCTGGATGACCGTTAGCTTACACGTACATGCTCATGAACTGTGCTTAAAGTTAAATGTTGCCTACAGTAATCTCACGGATTGTATCTTCCAATGTGCTTTTTTGGCTTCATACGTGACATAACTCACTGGGACGCAGCAGCAGGCTACAGCGACGGGGGGTTTGCTGAGTATTTTGGCTCCGTGGCAGTTTGAAATCATGCAGCATAGTCACAACTTGGCCCAAAGTGCATATCAGTGAGAAAACGTTTTACACATACAGATAAATGCTATTCAAGACATCAGATGCAGCACATGGATATGTGCTTCGATTGATAATGTCACAGAGACAGGATTGGGAGCTTGGTTCCTCGCTCTGCATTGTTCAGTTTAGTTGTTGCATTGGGTGGTAGAGTACATCGCTCCTTTGTGTGCTCGATTACCTTCAGCTGGGATGTTTGTGCTTCCGATAGTAAAACTGTTTTGCAGAACACAAGAATTTTGGCTTTTTTTTTTTCTTTCTCATATGTTCTGCATAATCACATATCCAGAGCGTTGTATGTTCTTGTGTTACTGTAATGCTGGTGTCGCTCTTTTTGCAGAAAGTCATGGCCCAGGCCCCAGCTTTAGGTTGAGAGGGTTCAGGCTATGCGAGCCACCTTAGTCCAACTTCCAGGTTTCATTGTTACACAGCACCATTCTGGTCAGGGGTGAAGCAGCCGTTAATCTTACAGTTGCTTTCTGCTCTCTGGCTTTGAGAAAGTTTCTTCTTGGCTTTCCAGCGCTGAGCGAGCGGCTCCATGAACAAGGAGAGGGATGAGAGCAGGTAGCAGAGGCCCGCCAGGTAGAAAGAGCAGTCGTATGTCTGTGTGTAGTCATACAGGAAGCCTATGAAAACAGAAACAACATGATCTTTAGTCTGTGAAGACTATAACACAACGGTTTTGAATCACCAGTATCTTAACTCCAGTCAGAACGGCTTCCCACTTTTTAAAATGACTCGAACTAAAACCTTTTGTGGAAATTAGAAGCATTTTTTTTTTAGGTATTTTATATTTTCTCAGTTTATTGGACTTTTTTTTTAATTATTTACTAACAATTAAGTTAAAAATATTGTCATACCCCTGGCAGATTTATGTTTAAAGTTATCTTTTAATTTCACCGACTTTTTGTCTGACTGGAAGTAGCACGGTGAACCTCCACCTCTTCACATTTCATTATTCATAGATTTGTCTGTGAAAAGTAACAGATAATCTGAAAAGTTCACCATGATATTTTTTTTTTTTTAAATATTCAGGGAAAAATATGCAGCTGAAATACATAAGCATAAAGCTGCTTGACATGCTATTGGCTGGCGTTTGCAAATCAAACCTTGCCATTGATTGGCTGTATCAAGACGAAGAAGGCCGTGGATGTTGGTAATAGTGCAAAGGCAAGTTCCTCTGCATTAAGATGCACATCATCGACTATTTGGTGTTTGAGCTGGTAAAACAGGCAACTATATGTGTTCTTAGAAGGGGTATCAAGTATTTGTGGATTTCAGTGGGTTAAGCCTCCTCAAATACAGGGAGTTCACTGTATTAATGTTTTAAAGCAGCCCAGCCAGACACCCAACTTTTGTAAAAGTATGATTTTATTGTATTTTTATGGTGTGGACCTCAGGAAAAATAGTCTGTCCTGTGGTAAAGACTAATGGGGATCCTTAAATAAAGAAATAATTTTGAATTTGATCATTAATCTGTGCAGGAAACTACGGACAATCACAAGGACTTTATGTGAAAGTCTCAAAGACGGCAGAAGATGTTAGATTTGTCATCTGTTGCTTTTAAAGAAATAATATCTTGAGAGTTTTCAAGGCCAAACAGTTTATTCATACCACACAGTCTGTTTACCTGTGTGGTCAGGTAGCAGACTGACCACACATAACTATTCCACACAACTATCAGATAATGTTTTTCTCAAGTATTTTACTTGATTACATGGATGTATATTAGAAATACAAAGGATGCAACAAACATATCGCTTTAGGTAACAGTGACAACTTTTAAAAATATCTCCTGGCCAAAGGTCGTTTCTCCCACTTATCTGATAGAGTCAGTCTACTCTTCAACTAGCTTAACATAGCCAGAAACCCATTTTAAATTCATCATATCTGAAAACCTTTTCTAAATGTTCCAGGTCACCAAAAGGGTAGAATGTCTCTGATCAGTCAAATGTGTGCTTCGGGTCATTGTCCTAATGGCAGACGCAGACCTTCACCCCACACCTAGTTTTCTGACGTTGGGAAACAATTTGCTCTATAAGGTTTTGGTAAAATCTTGACGTATTCAAATTCTACAGGTTGCATACAGAATAAAACAGTCCAACCTGTTTTTTGTTGTTTTTTTTGTTTACTGCAGCTGCTGTTTATTTTATGACAGTGTAAACAATTTGGTGCACATAATTCCCAGAGTACTTTTATGTGAGGTATATATTTTAGAACAATTGTGTTCAGTGATTACCCAGACTGACTGTATCGCTCATCTCCAAGGAGCCACACGGCCAAGAAGGAGTGTGGTGGCTAATGCTTCATTTCAGTCGAATTCATTCCAAGTTTCAAGTCAGGAAAAGTCGACTCCGCCGAATTTAGATTTATGACTTTTAAAGATGGATGGGTTTTTTCACTAAGCACAGAAACAAGCAAGTCCCGCTTCGACACGTTACATCACGCCCTAATCCGAATTAAGATTTCTGAAGTAAAAAAAAAAAAAAAATCATGTGACAAGTACAACCATGTTTCCTAAAACTGGCAGCTTTGGATATATCTGTGTTAACTGGGAAAAGAAAAGGAGCCGAAGCCATTTATTTCACAAGAGTGTCATAAAGAACTCAATATTCTGCGCTATTTTAAAAAAGTTTGAACGTGTCATCTCTTTTCTCCATTTCCAGCCAGCTGTATAGCATTTTAATATTTTATTATTGAACAGTTTATGTTTTCTCCAATTCAGTTCAGTTTCACATTTCTAGTGGCCTCTTTTTATTTATTTTTTGGCTTACAACCAATAAAAAAAATAATAAATTCAGTTTTCATGACATATAAATTCTTAGTAAGGTACATAAAAGGTATTTGACAATGAAATCTTATCACAATCATAAAGAATGACTGTTTACCACTGTCTAGTAGACGGTCACTGATTACCTCCACAGGGACAGTAAGCCAGAAAGGTTTACTGCTACAAAAGCTGCTTTTTAAAGACCGTTGTATCAAAGTATGCTGATGGAAAGTTGAGCGGAGGGTGCTACACAAGCCTTAAGAGGATTCTGTATCAAAGCCCATTCAAGAGTTTCAGGGTGATTTACAAGGTGCTGACTGTGAATGGAGCTGGTCCTCCCACAACCTCTGGACATTTCCAGGACGCGGGTGCCAACCGTCACATTCCTTCTACCGTATTTTCCGCAGTATAAGGCGCACCTAAAAACCATCAATTTCCTCAAAAGCCGACAGTGCACCTTATAATCCGGTGCGCCTTATATATGGACCAATATTGAGCCACAACAGATCTAGCAACTACGGTAAGCAGCCGCCGACTTCATTTTTGCCCGTAGAAGAAGAAGCGCGCGGTGCATGCTGGGATAGTTGTCAGAACGCTGGTTTCTTAATAAAGTTTGACTGACCTATCTACCTACCGACCGTCTAGAATCAGGTCGTCTGCAGGTCATTTAGCACCACGTTCTCCACGAACATGCTGTGAGCGAACGGAGAAGGGTGACCATCGTCCGGCCACGCCTGGGCCCAGTAGTGGAAGGCTCTCCTCGCCGACCAGAGTCGGACTGTTTTGTTGACATTCTTTATGTCAACAAAGTGGCTTTAGACATTCATCCTTTAGTGCAGCTCCATCTAGTGGATGCATAACGTAACTCCAGCCTCTACTGTAGCGTCTATTCTATGCGCTTTATAATGCGGTGTGCCTTATATATGAAAAAAGTTCTAAAATAGGCCATTCATTGAAGGTGCGCCTTATAATCCGGCGCGCCTTATAGTGTGGAAAATATGGTACTTTGCAAACTAGCAATATCAGAAACGTTGTACCTGGACTGAGGATAAAAATTACTGGATTGTTGCGTCATGGGCCCACAGTCCTAAATTCAAATGAAAGAACATTTCTCCTTTGTTACAGAAATCACGGTCAGAGAGTCACGCAACACTCGGCACAAGATCTTTCATCTGCTGATGTTGTCGTCGTGGTGAATCACGTCTAAAATCACAGCAGCCATCTACCAGAAACATGACAAGCATGCTAAGATTCCTTCTGCTGATAAGCTACCTGGAAACGCTGATTTCATCTTGCAAAAAAATTAAAAACTTCCTGTAAGACATGGGTCCTACCCACACTGCCAAACATACCAATGCCTGCTTCAATAACCATGACCGCTGTGCTTCACTGACTACCAACGTACATGGCCTAAAACCCACAGAGAACCAGTGGAACCAGTGAAAATAAGAAACATTAGATCCAACAATGGAGACAAAATGAAGTTCAGATATTAAAGCCTCCTGAACACCCAGCAGATCCTGCGTTGATTTAGCAACTGATGCAAAAGGAGGCCCGGCCAAAAACTGACCACATTTACTGAGCACATGCACATGCTTTTCAGAACAATCACATTTCCAAATTTGGGGTTTCCATAACTATAATGATCACAATTAACAAAAAATAAAAACTATTAATATATCACTGTCTATACTGAAACCTTTTATCGTACTTCTGATGAGTTTTTAAATGTATTTACTAAAAGTGTGTTATGTTCTTTCATTTATTTCATGACTCTGCCTTCTAGTTTGAACACAGTAAATAAATCACGTTCCCTGAGGAACGACTGGTTCAAACGTTCAACAAACCTCATATGTCAAAGACTCTTAACACTTGACTGAAAGATCAAAAGTTGCATGAGAATAAATGAAAACTGGTCTGACAGCACTTGCTGCACGCTGCAGCCAATATTAAAGCTGGCCTTTCTCTATTTTTTCTTTAAATAACGTTTCTCACTCAAATGGAGAGGACGGTAAACAGATCCTCAAGATATTTCTGTACCACCCTAAAGGGGCCATTCATCATGTTTCAACTGATGCAATCTTCAAGCTTCATTGGTAGATTTGCAGAACACCATTGACAAGTCAGTATGTGGAAGGGCCCCCTGACTTTAACTTGTGCCAAGTGTTACCAATTAGGGCAAAGGGCGCTGGGGTGTATTTTCCTAGAAGCATGAAAACAAGAAGTGAGACTATGAGTTTTTTTTATCCCTTATGTTGTTTTTTTGTTTGTTTGTTTTTTGGCCATTTACAGAAGGTATCCGCAGATCAGATGTCAGACAGACGACCTGCATTGCTGTTATCTTTTTCAGCTGACCTGGAGAAGACATGGTTTGAATGGACTCTGACCTGCTGTAACTAAAATACTGTAACAAAAACCTGTAGCCCAGATTAGAAACAGCTCTCCAAGACTACAAAAGGAAAGATGCCATCAGTTAAATAAAGTGACTGGAGTTCCCTAAAAGAACGGCGCTGTTATTCTGGGGGTTTGACCCCGCAACCCACCATGTGTTTTTCTGCGAAGCCAATTGAACATTTCTAGTATGTACAGAGTTGTACTTTTACTGTACATTTTTTTTCTCCTGTCTGCTTCATTTTTTTTTTTTTTTTTTTACTCCATAGTGTGTACATACACACTTTGAGAGTCGGCAAGGAATTCAGGGCACAGAAAAAATATGAGACAGGAGGCCTATCAACCTGCCAAGCATCACACTTATGCCTTCATGCCTCCCATCCCTTTCACCATACACACACACACCTAAACACACACACCCACACACACACACGTACTTTCTGCCTGTAGCTCTTACAAAACCCTGAAACATGCACAAACATCTCCACGGCCCTCTGTGTAATGAATGCTTCAGAAATGTATAGCCATGGCAGCCATCCGTGCACATGCAGAACTCATAAATGTGTTTGTGTACATTTGGAAAAAGTGGGTCAGCACATGCATAACTCTTGATGAATTTCCAAGAAGTGGTCTGCTCACCTGCCAGTGGAGGCCCAGTGAGGCAACCCAGGCCAACAAAGAACATGGAGAAACCCATGGAGTTATTGAGTTTCTCCGACCCAACAAGATCAACCTGCAAAACAGAAAAGCACACATTTCACTCGACATAATTACATTTGAACTAAAGCTCCTTCAACTTACTAGCACTTACATGCTACTTGGATAGTTTAAAAAAGTTTAATTTTCACATTTCCATAGGGTCTGAGTTTTGTGGAACTGACATTTCATATAAATTAATAATGTCAGAGTTGACTGTGGACTAATGAATGTTAATCCTTTTATTGTTACTTTTTTTTTTCAACTAACAGATCACAGCTTAGAGTCCACAACACTCAGCAACTCCAAGTCTCCCTTCCTAAAAGCTCATTTTTCTTGTTTAGCAGTTGCTTTAGTTCACTAGTGAACCAGGGTTTGTTATTAGGAAGCATCTCACTGTTCTGATGTAGATTGTGCTTCCCATACAGCTGTTTATATCGTTATATATATGAAAAAAGGTCTTCTACCTAACAAATACATGTAAGAGTCAAAGTAAATTAGGCTGTCATATGTCAGTGGCATGTCTCAGTTGTAAAGCTGATTCAATGGCAAGCAAATACCCTCGAAAAAAGCAGACCACGACAATACGTTTTCAGACTGTTGGAGCAATATAATAAAATCTACAGAATAACCAATGACTCATTCAGTTGGACTGACCATAACGACAATTGCAAAAACATTTCCAACGATTTTTCCAGCCGTTATTCAATTATGTAGTGAGCATCACACAACCCAAACAATGCGCTTGATGTGAACTCAATGGATGGGCAGAAGTGGAAACTGATATAATGAGACAGAGGCGTAAAAGATTTCACATTCACAGATTATTTAAAAAGATAGAGGGCTGTTTATGAGACTCATCTCCCAAACTTAACACTTACATCTTCATCTCTGGATTATATACATATTTTTCTTTTTTGTTTGTTTGTTTAAATAGGAAACATAAGGCATCAGAATTGCTAAATGATGGGTCAACTATTTTTTTCCCCACCAACAACAAAAATCCTTGGTTTTCCTTACCAGGACAGGCAGCAACAGAGCCATGTAGCCCCCGCAGAAGATCGCGAAGAAGACCGCATACACCATCAGCAGTATGTAGGAGGTGGCCAGAGGGGAGAGCATGTTGACCAAGCCACAGAGGATCAGGTAGGCTTTGTGAAAGTGATATTTATGAAACAGGTTCCTGTCTGTCACCCAACCTGAGGCCAACTGGGCGATCGTCTCTGTGATACCTGGAACAGAAGCAAAGATGAGAAACTTGTGTGAATAAAAGTGAAATTTAATCTAAGTGAGTTTGGAAGGTTTCATTGATCAAAGAAAAAAAAAGACACATTTAGAAATAACCTACAATAACAATTATTCACACCATCTGATTTGAATGATTTCTGACTGCGCCTGAGTACGATGACGAGGCAGATTATGGACTTTTCTCTGCGGAGGTCAACTGGAATGTGATCGGCATTGCGGAATCTGCAGTGGTATATTGACCGTTGCAGAAATAGCTACAAGCAAGCAGTGCTGAGCCTCTGATCAATGAAACAAGCTGGTCCTCTGCATATCAGAGTAACTCCTGATACCCTTTGTGGAAACTCAGCGGTGTCAGAGCACTGGGTCTTTTGATGTCTTCAGTTTCTCAGACTTTGACAGAACGCCTCTGCACTCTTTACCTAACAGGATCCAAAACCCTCTGTCTCCATCGGGGTTAAAGAAGACGACATGAGGCAGCTGTGCAATGTTTATGTGTCCTCCTCTTGTGATCCAAGAAATGTCCTGGTGCGTCCACTGCTTGGACACTGACGAGATGTGCCTTTGTTTGTGTGTTTTAGCCTCAGCAGGTTGGTTTAGCCCTGCAGCTGTTCCTGTTCAAACTCATCACAAAGCTGTTTAAATTTGGCCTCTCCAAGTAGCAGCACCTTAAGCCAAGTGCATTGGGGACGTTGGTTTTGTCCGTTAGCCTCCACTGTATCAGCAAGTAAAGAAATTGTTGGGGTTGGTGCTACGCTGGATTAACTGCCTGACCCTGACAAACAATTTCCATTCTATTAAGGGCTGAAGGGCAAGAAGAAATGCCAATCAGGTTTCTTTAAACTGTGACATTTTGTCAAAAGACTAAATCGAAGGGTTATAAAAGGCATGTTGGTTTTCCCAGCTACTCTGAAATCACTGCTGGCTTTACTTGCCTTTTTTTTTTTTTTTTTTTTTTTTTGCAAGCACAGCCTCATCAATACCCCTCAGCAAAGTGTCGCCCACTTCAGAACTGGACTCAGACAAAACCGGGACCTCCCCTTGTAACCACGCCAACAACTTTACTCTGTTAGTCGTTGCCTAGCGACTCCAGTCGGCTCCAGTTTCGGAGGGGTGACGAGCACACTGACCCAGATGACAGCGGCCTCTCTTTCCCCTGGCCAAGTCGATGACAGCGCTGAGCTTGAATAAGAAGAACAGCAAGTTCTGGGGGTTTGCAGCTTTGTGGTGTGCGTGGCACCCGGTCTTCTTTTTCCTCTTTTATTACGGAGCAAGAGTAAAAAGAATCCATCTGTCCTGCTGCACGCTGGAACAAAGCTTAGCAGTGTCAACCCAAGGAGCATGGAAGAAAACTCAATCACTGGAAAAGTCTTCACACCCCTCATGCTTTTTCCTCATGGCGTTTTATGAAATAGATCAATGCAGAGTAGCACATAACCAGGAAGTAGAAGACAAAAAAAAAAAAATCATTCCCTCCATTACTAATAAAAGGTGACAAAGTGTGGCGAGTGTTTATATTTAGACCCCTAAATAGTTGTCTTGAAAATAAATAGAACTCACCAGTTAAAACCAGTATAAATCCATTGGTTCTGTGAAGGCATCAGCGGCCAAACTCTTTGAGAAATTGTTTAATCCATGTTTTGGCGTATAATCCTCTGTGGCCCGACACAGAGGATTATACGGCAATTTGGTCGACCCCTGAAAGCATGGGTTTTTGGACCTTCCACAATGGGTAAAATCGTGCAGAGCCATTGTTTTTTTAAATATAGTTACAATAACAAATTCAGATTTTAGAAGTATATTTTTTCACTGAAAACTTCCCGCATTGAATTTCCACAACAAAGTGGCACTAAAAGCATAAGAGACTGTGTTTTATTTGACTTTATGTTGGAAACTAAGTACTTTTGTTTGCATTATGTTCCCACAAACATCAACACCCAGTAGAAAATAAATATGTTGTTTTATGTTTTTCTTTATTTTGAAACCTAACAATAAAAGTGCAATATCATATTTCTGAAAATGTTATGCAACATTTGTGGCTCAAAACAAGTTTGTTTTGCTGGACTGAGGGCGGAAATGGCTATTTGGCTGGTAAAGGCTGCAAAATCGTCGCCTAAAGTGACAGTCGGTGCAAAGAGAGCATTAATCAGAGACGTAGCTAAGAGGCCCGTGGTAACTCTAGAGGAGCGACAGTGACCCTCTACTCAGGTAGGAGAATCTATGGACAGAACAACTACCTCTGTGCTTTCCACACATTTGGTGTTTATGGAAGAGCATCAAGAAAAATGTGATTGTTGAAAGAAAACCATAAGAGGTTCAGTTTGAAGTTTACCACAAGCTATGAAATAAATACAGTAGACATGTGGAAGAAGGTGCCTCGGTCAGATGAGACAAAGTTAAACGATGTTCCTTGCAAGCAAAATTTCGTCTGCAGCAGAAAAATGAAGCTCGGCTATATTCTGTTTTCAGTTATGCTCAACTTGTGGCTGAAATGTGAAAAAAAAAAAAAAAAAAAACTTCAAGGGGCACAAATCTTTTCACAAATGTATTGTAGCAAGGTTTACAGCCCTTCTTAGTTAATTTTAGCATTTCTTGAGGAATTTTCTACAACAGAGCTGCATGACCCCAATCCTTACCTTAACCCCCAAGTGCTGTGCAGTATGTTGATTCCTATATTCCTTTTTTTCTCTCTCTTGCTCTCGGTGAAGGCGGACGCCTTTTTCCTCTTCTCCCTCCTTGCCCTGCTTTTTCTGGTTTTGTCCTGTTTTTTTCTATATTTTTGGAGCCTTTCTTTGCACATCATCCAAATCTAGAAATTATGGATCTGCTCAACCGATCTCTCAATGCAGTTGATCAAATTTTCTCGACGAGAACTCAAGGCACAGGAGAGCCCTCTTGTCCTGCGGGGAAAACACCCGGCAGGATTCACCCTGGATTTATTCATGACAACAGGATTTCTGCTGTTTGGAGCTTGTGGATTCCTGGCTTATCGACAAATTTGTGACGGACTTGGCCGAACTAGCGAACACTCAGACTGTTGGTGTGGACAGAGATGAGGACTCTAAAACTAACTAACAGGATGGAGTCGGTCATGGAGAAGTTGCTAGTTTCAGTTCAGTGGAACAATCAAACTAATTTAGATAATTGGGAACTGAGATGAGAGACTTTAGGGAAGATTGAAATTTATAATCTACCCGACCAAAGACATTCTGTATCTGAACTGGCTCTCCCCATGTTGCCTTGGAAGGGCTGCATATTTTCAATCTCCTTGAAGATTTGCAAACATAACGCTCCTTCCCACCTCACCCCCTCCTGTTATACATGCAGCTGTGGAGCTGAGCGCTCCTAAGGCCTCGATAACAACACCTTTATCGGACTTTTGCCGGGAGGCTGAGCAACATGGTTTCATGGGCCTGTGACGTCACCGCCTTCACTCATGTCTTTGTTTTGCCCTTTGTTTTGCCTGCCTGTTGCCATCTGCCCTAATGTGTCTTTTCCTCCTTTTTTATTTTATTTTGTTAGAAACTGTGGAGTACTCACTACTTAACCCAGAAAAGGATTGTTTTAGATTATTTTAGTTTATTAGTAATATCAGAAATTGTGGAGTACGCACGATTTAGATCAACATTATCCTTCCTACATAACTTTTATGCAGAGACTCATGCTGCTACAGCCCAGAAAAGGAATTATAATTACAACAAACTTGGAATCCAGAAATACAGGAACAGTCACTATTTGGTTACTTTTTATACTACTACTTGTTAGAAACTGTGACTACTCACTTTTAACCCAGAAAAGGAATTAGATTAGTCACTCTTTAGCTTATTTTTTTCAGAAACTGTAGAGTACTCACTAATTAGAGGCAGAGACCAGAACCCCAGAGGACACGTTTGGATCGAGACGACTTTTTAGACTCCTGTTCTTCCAACCCAGAAATGGAATTAGACCAGAGGATAATTACCAACCCTGAACAGGAACAACTAGTTTACATACTTTAGGTCAACATTAGATACTTTTCCCTCTTTCTTTTTTTGGCTCTTTCCTTTGATTTGTTATTTTGTTTGTATTTCCTTTTAATTCCTGTAAAGCACTTTGTATTGCCTTGTTGCTGAAAATGTGCTATATAAATAAAATTACATTCATAAAAGCTTCCTTTTTCTGCTGGTTTACACTTTTTCACAATAATAACTGATAAAGATATGCTGCATTTTTTTTTTCTTTAGTTTCCTCAAAGTTTTCTCAACTTTCCATGCAACTAAATTATGTACATTTATTTCTTGTTATTTCCCCCACCCCCCAACTCTTAATTGATTTGTGGCCTAAGATTTGACTGAAAACAAAACGTGGATCCTATTAAAAGAGAGCACTTAAATAAGAGAGTACTGAACTGCTTCTCTGAAAGGCACCTCAGTTAATACTGTATCTGAAAGCTTGCAGACGACTGTCAGTGATTACATTTTAAAACATAAGTGCTTAAATGAGCAACAGTCAGACATTTCAATTATTCACAGTGCCTGACAAGGCACTAACAGAATTACATGTCCATGTGGTTGGCGGTCAAATGTTAATACCGTTTTCTGGTCATATGGAGGGGCCTCGTCGATCGTATACTGCTAAACCCACCCGTCCTGGCCAGTGGACCAAAGTTCAGCTTTTATGTAAGAACATTCATTACATAAGACTGCAGAGTCTGAGTAGCTCACAAATAATTAATGCCTAAAAGTTGACTGAGCACTTCTTTTGCATCACTTAGAAGATCCAGACTGGAAAAAAGAGATGCACCGCCTGCTTCACAGTCCCGGCAAAAAAAAAAAAAAAAAAAAAAAAACACGGGATCTGCAAAGTACGAAGACATGCAGGCTGAAGCCTGTCAGAAGCGGATCCTGTCAGATCTGTGGCTCTAGTTTCCTAAAAGCATTAATGATCTATAAAACCTACTAGTTATGTATTTTATTGTATGTTAAAGACTAACCAGTGACCTGCTCAAAACAAAAACAAAAAAATATGCACTTATAAGGGCAGCAAACACATTTTACAAATTTAAACTCCTGTAAAAAGTACAAGTGTCCAGTGTTTGTGTCCCTAAAGACTAAACTCAAAACATAATTTCATATATTTTCTTTTTATTTACCTGTTGAGTAACATTACGTTCACAGTTTAAATGCAAAGGAAGGGGAGGACGGGTGCTCTGTGAGGTGGAAGCTCAGCTGGTGGCTGCAGCTCTGAGGACTAACTTTGTGGGAGCAAGCGTTTAGGCACCCTGAATAGTTGCCATGGGAGATTCAAGGATTTCTTTAATACCCTCCTAATGAAACTAAAAGGATCTGTAGTGTTGTCATTCACCAAACATGATCAAATACTGTTACAGCAGTCATGCTGTTTAACAATCTGAGCAAGGTTCTCTCTAGCAGCAGCTGTTTTCTATTTGCAGTCAAGCAGTCATCACTGAGCACCAATGATTTTCTGATGTCGGACCCATTAACAAAAGTTAATGCAGAAGCCGTCTTTATCTGTGTAAGAGAATTTTCTCTGAACTCACAGGTTATTAAGTCCCTTTCTTTTACAAGCTTTTACAGCACAATTAAATCAAATTAACGCAGGGAGCAGAAAATGGTTTTTGAAAGTGCTGGAAATATTTGTTTGGCACAATTCCTATGCTAAATGAAGATTCACGTACGCTGAAAGTTGCATTATAAAAAAAAATAAAGGTAAATAAGTTCTCTTCTACAAATAACAAAACTTTTGTTACAATTTTCAGAAGTGAATGACTATTAAGTTAACTGACTAATGCTAGCCTCACCTGCTACTGAGATGATGAAAGAAGCGTCCATGGCATCGATCCCCAGGTTCCTGGCCCTGGCAGACAGGTGGAAGTACGGGATGAAGTAGGCCAGTTGACTGAACACCAAGGACCAAGTGTAGATGCAAAAGAATGGGTCCTTCAGCAAGGTGAAGTCCAATAATTTGGGTTTAACGTCAGCCACTCCAGTCGGCGTACCGGAGTGTATGGGAACTCCAACAGTGGTGGAGCCATTCATGGCACCATTCATCTCCGCTGGGCTGTCTGGACTTGCAGCCTTACACTGACCTAAGTCATGTTGGGGCTCATGGCCATTTATGTTATTGAGGACCAGTCGAGTCAATTCAGGGTCCAATGACTGGCTCTCTTGTCCATGAATGGATTGTTCTTTTAAGTTTTCAGTGTCTCTGTGAGGCGTAGGAGAGGACTGGAGAAAATCAGATTTGGAGACACCATTGGACAGAGGAGAAGAGCTGCTCAAGCAGTTTTTGGGGTATTCCTTCTCTGCAGAGCTCTTAAGGGAAATAGAAGGGCTCTTTTGGATAGGCAAAGACGTAGAGTTTGTTGCAGGTGGCTTCACATTAATGGGTCTCAAAAGCATCCCAGAAGCCACCAGGTTCAGCATGAGGCCGCCGAGAATCAGCATTGCACCTATGGATGACAAACACGACCCGCTGCATCAGATTCACTGGCACACAAGAGCTCATCCAAAGAGTTTTCCTTCCTATCCTACCTTGCCAAGCGTACTGGTCCAATAGCAGCTGGGTGAACGGGGCCAGGGCAAAGGTCAAACCCATTCCAGATCGACCAATCGCGTACGCGGTCGCCAGCCGTTTTCTGAAGTACAGCGCTGTGATTACTGAAAATGACTGGTATAGTAATGCAAAACCCATTCCTGACAGGAGAAAAAAAAATACATTAATGGGATTAATCTGTGTTTCATTGTGAGAAAACTGAAGTCTGAAAAGTAAAAAGAAGTAGCCACCAACACCATTTATTTTCACTTGAACTCACCGACTATCACTCCCATGCTGATGTAGAGGTATACTACACTGTTGGCAAAGATGCTTATGATGAAGCCTCCACTAACTAGCACTGCCCCAGAGATGGAGGTCACCCGCGGTCCCAGCTTGGCGCAGGCCACCGAGGCAATGGGAGCTGCAGCACAAGATTTTAGATGGAGTTGGTTCTTTGGGCATATTATAACCCCTTTCAGTTGCGTATGTATGAACATGTACATAGAAAGATTTGTGTTTCTAACCAGAGGAAATAAGCAAACAGACAAATATCGTTGTCACTCCCACCTCCAGACAGACGTAAACTAGACATGATGGAACCGATCCAGCTGATGCTTTCTGCTGAACCTCCAAACTCATCTTGGAATGCCACAAAGAAGATCCCAAAGCTTTTGAGGGTGCCCATCACAAGAACATTTACCTGCAAGCACATACAAATACCAATATATAGAAATCTATTAAAATGAATACCAGGCACATAGTTCCTCTAAATCACAGCTGTAATTAAAACGGAGGTAGATTATAGTGCAACTTCCTTAATGCAATCCAAGTAAAAAAGAAAGATACTTACTTTAATATGTATTTATGTAGCAAAAAAATGTATACAGAATGACATTAAGAACTAAATACACAAAACAACGCAAGAAGAACAAGTAGCATCAGGTGTAGCATCTCAATAGACG